AAAAACAAAAAACAAAATTTCTACCTTTTTAAGAAGTCTTTTCCCAAAATTAAAAAAAAAATCCAAAAAAAATATATTTTCTTTCTTCTTTAGAAGTCTTTCTTTCAAACATTTCAAACAAGAATCCAAAAAAAAAATCCAATTTTTTTTTTCTTTCTTCTTTTAAATCCTTTCTGTCAAAAATTCAAAAAAAAAACGAAATTGAAAAAACAAATATACATGTTTATCTTTTTCTAAAAAAAAAGGGCTTCCATGGTTTGAGTTTTATAAAAATTAATCAAAAAAAAAGAGTTAGCATATTTACTCCATTCTCGATCTTCCTGAACTACGCAAGATCTGATTCATGCGGTGCCATGATACGTAGACAATCCCCATCGGATTCGATCATAGCCATAAAATTAACTAGGTGAAAAATAATTTGAATAAAAAGAGAGAAAGAAAAAAAATTGAGTGAAAAAGAAAGAAAAGAGCGACCAAAAAAAGGGGAAGCCGCAAAAATAAAAGAGTTACCAAAAAAAAAGAGTGCCAAAAAATAAAAGAGCAACGGAAACGAAATAAAAAAAATCAAGAATGATTAGAGAGAAGAAAAAATGAAGAAAATCGGTACAGAGTGAAAAAGTTTAGTTAAGGCCGGGATGAAACATGCAACCATTCAAACACATGGTAGAAATGTTTAACTGTTTAGGTGCATTGCATCCAAACGTGTGATTTCCTATTTGTTAAGCATCTCAAAACTAACAAGGTTGTTGGGTGTGCAAATTAGCCAGGTTATGGTGCTTGGTTTTGTTAGTAGTCTGGCCTCCCCTCCTTCACAAGATCCAAAGGCACAGTTGGCCTCCGCAAGCAATCTACCAATCATCGGTCCTGAGGATAGCCCAGCATCGGCTATTCTATAGCTAGAATCAGCAGTTGCTGAAGAGAATAAGATGTTGCGTCTCCGCATATTGGAAATGTGGAACGCCTGGTCTAATGGTAGGGAACCACCAAGTGCAATCCCTGGGTTCCCTGAGTTGATTCCCAGGTCAGGTATGGTTACCAACGCCCCTGTGCCCAACCCGCTCATCCCGTGCGGGCACCCTCCAATGTTCTCCAATGTTCCTAGCATGCCTTATGTGCGCCAGCTTCCATGACACCTCCAATATTGTTCTCTACATTACCATTCTGCACCAAAGCACAACCAACTTTACCATGGCCGTATATTGAGCCTCCAATGTTCACCTTTCAGGGTCTATAGCTTCAACCAGAAATAACATATGTGACCCCATACTCATTCACTCAACCTCCGCAATGCGATCTCTCGGTGGAGCAAGAAAAGGTCATTAAAAATCCCGAGCAAGAGGAAATGGCTCGGAAGATGAAGAGCTTGGAACAAAGCCTGAAAAACACGCAAGGTATGAGTGGCCGAAAGAGTGTATCATACTTTGACCTCTGTATGTTTTCCCCTGTCCAATTACCAACTGGCTTCAAGATGCCAAAATTTGAAAAGTACGACGGGCATGGAGACCCGGTCGCTCACCTAAAATGATATTGTAACTAGTTGAGAGGCACTAGTGGAAAAGTAGAGCTGCTAATGGCCTATTTTGGGGAATGCATCATCGAAATCGCTTTTGAGTGGTATACAGATCAAGAAATTACTCATTGACATGTGTGGGACGATATAGCCCGAGATTTTGTCCGCCAGTTTCAGTATAATGTGGACATCGCTCCCGACAAAAACTCTTTGTCCAATTTGAAAAAGAAAATCGCGGAAAGCTTCCGCGAATATGCTGTCAAATGGTGTGAGCAAGCTATCAGGGTAAAGCCTCCAATGGACGAAATTGAAATGGTCACTGTCTTTCTATAGGCCCAAGAGACGGACTACTTCCAGAATATGATGTCCGTTATGGGAAAGCCGTTTGCTGAGGCTAACAAAATTGGGTTGAGTCATGCTGCTTTTAAAGCCACATCACCAGATGTTCAAAATGGTTAAGAGGGTTTGATGAACATATATGGGGTTAAAGAGGGAGCCATGATAGTTTCAAGCTCGAGGGGGCTCGCAGGTCATTTAGCCAATCATATGTGTCTCCTATGGTCCCACCACACTATTATCCCCTTCATGATGCTGCTTATGTCGTGGCACCACCCCCTTATGCGGTGATGAATGCGCAACTTTACCCGCGGCCACAACATTATACACAAAATCGAGCTCCACCTCCTAGAAATATCCATCCTTACTAAGCTCCATATAATCCTCAACCAAATTCTCCCCAATACAATCCTCGTCAAGAGAGCCTTTCAGAAAGAATCAGTTCACCCCTATTGGTGAATCGTATTAAAGCTTGTCCCAAAAGCTAATCAGGCTAAATCTATTGCAGCCAGTGTTCCCGAGCCGGCCGAACCCAGAGTCCCCAATGCACCAAGCTGATGCTAGCTGTGAATACCACTCTCAAGCAATGGGACATAGTACGAAGGACTGTTGGACCCTCAAAAGGACAGTTGAAGATTTGATTGCAGCTAAAAGAATTGTTTTTCAGGATGAAGAAGCTCCTGATATGATGAACAATCTGTTGTCGACCAACAACATAGGGCCAATAGTCAGAATGATTTGCGAAAATGAGGAATTTGATCTGGCACTGAAGGCTGTTATAGCCTTTGCCGAGACAGAAGAAAAGCCAAAAACTGGTTGCCAAACCTGAAAGTTCCCAATCAGACGGGAGTCTCAGTAGCCACTCTAGCTATCCTTTCTGCATCCAGATTATCTCAGGGTGTGATCCGGATGTTTTATTTTACTGTCTTACTTTTCGATGTAAACCCTTCTATCTTTAAAATTCAACAAAAAAAATCAAATCATCAAAATCCAAAAAAAAAAATCAAATGAAATCAATATTTTTTTTTAAAGCAATCCACTAGGCATGGCCTAGGGCTAGGTTTTATTCATAAAATCAAAAGAATACAATGAATTTGTCAGGAGGTCTTAAGCTATGAAAATAATAACAAATGAAGATTACATTAATCCTATTACCAATATTGAGTAGTGAATTCAACATTGGCATCACAAAATGTGTAACTAATCTAGCCATATTTGTAAATGATATCCAAACCAAGAATTAGTGCCAAAATGTCCTTCTGAGATCATTACCAATGTAACAGTGTTCCAGCTTTTCGCGTCCATCTGCCTCTACTTTGTTGTAGTTTTCCTCCACCATTATGATATGTCTGCTTGATTTCCACTTCTGAATTCCTTCTTTGCATTTTCTGTTGTGTTGATGTGTTGTATTCTTGTTCCTTGTTGATCCCCTCCTGTTTGAAAAACCTATCCAAGGTTGCCCTGTGCCTTGCCTTGTCCATTTCAGTTGCAGCGAGCATTGCATGAGCTCCATTTCCTGAATGTTTCTTCTGCTATAGTCCAAAAGTCGAGAACAGTACCAGCTTAATGACTGAGTACCTATGACTTCCTGAACTGTAATTACACTCCCCCATAATTCACTTGTGTTGGACTGAGTACAAAGTACTAATACCACCAGCAACAAGCTCCTCATAAGGTTGTGTAAAATCCATGTAAACTAAAGATCTGCTAACCAATTCCCACTGTATGATGTCCACGATTGTTTCATCCAGTTGATCACCTCAACTGTCCACAATGTGTGTTCAGGTGTGACCCCAACCATTTGAGTGCTTCTTTTCTCGATTGCTTGTAGTTTTCCTTTCCTTGTGAATTTTTTTATGCTGTGCACCCCTGACTTAATGTGCCATAATGATCTATATGTCATGTTGCTTGATGTCTGAATTTTGTACCTTGGTTCCTCTAGGTTGTATCCTATTTCTACCTTCATTCCACTAGGTTGGGTGAAAATCACCAATACCACTAGTAAGAACTTCAGTGAACAATAGGGCCTAGAGACTGTTCCTGCAAAAAAGAACACTTTGTTAGAAATAAGCTTCATCATGCTCTCTTCCAACAGGATTTGAGCATGATGTTCATCATAGTAGCATCTTTGTTCCCCATCTTCTCTTGGAGTATATTGTGTTTTTCTGCCTATCTTCTTACCCTTCCTCATTACCTGCTCCTTGCACCCTAATATCATCCCTCTACTGCGTTCAGACAACACCAAATCATATGATAAGGTATCTTGTACTTCTTGAGGCCATACAGATAACCTGTAGTTGCTATGCTGCTGCACTTCATTTTTCCTCACCTTTTCATTTTCTATCACCATTCCTTTTACTCTAGCACCTGCCTGGCTCCCTGAATCCCAATGTGTGTCTACTACTCCCTCTCTTGTTGTGGATCCCCAGATTAGACCCCTTCCTTCCAACCCCTGAACTCCCATATTACTCCCTATTCCTGAGAATGCCCTTCTGCTCAAAACCAGATTAAGAGTCTGGACCCTGCTTGTTCTGCTGAAATGCTCCTCCACCTAATCCTTCCTTATACATGCACTCCTTGCTCCTATCCCCTCTAATAAGTGTACCCCCCTGCTGCTGACATAGGCAAGATCAGGTAACCCATTTCGATTAGACATTCTGGGCTTTAAAGCTCATGTTGTGACCTTATATTTGCTGAAAACCTTCAGTGACATCAGAAATTTCTGATTTTCTTCTGCAACTATGTTTGGATTTGAGTTTCCTTCTCTGGGCTGAGTGCAAAGCACTAATACCACCATAAAAAGTTCCCTCAAGATCCGAAACATAGCTGCAGCATTTGTAGCTGCAAAAAAGAAAAAATTGTTAGATAAAAATCTCATCATACTCTCATCCAAAAGGATTTGAGTATGATGATGTTTATACAGACTCCTTTGATCCCCCTCTGCAGGTGATGTAGCTCCTCTACCTCTTCATATCTCCTTGAATCTGAGACTCTTATGTATGGACATTGTAATTTATCAGAGTTCACCAACTTTCTCCCCTGAATATCCAAATCCTCAAATCCATAACACTCCAACAGGCCATTGTCCAGGGCATAATTTGCAATGTGATCTGCTAACTTGTTTCCTTCTCTGAGTGTATGAGATATCTTAACATTAGCCCTCTTCATCAAATCCATAATCTCCTCTACCAGACTTCCCAAGACCCAAGGGGGCTTCCATTCTCCTGTAATCACTTTCNTATCTCCTTGAAGCTGAGACTCTTATGTATGGACATTGTAATTTATCAGAGTTCACCAACTTTCTCCCCTGAACATCCAAATCTTCAAATCCATAACACTCCAACAGGCCATTGTCCAGGGCATAATTTGCAATGTGATCTGCTAACTTGTTTCCTTCTCTGAGTGTATGAGATATCTTAACATTAGCCCTCTTCATCAAATCCATAATCTCCTCTACCAGACTTCCCAAGACCCAAGGGGGCTTCCATTCTCCTGTAATCACTTTCTGCAGCACCATAGAGTCTGTGTGCAAGTCAATCAAGACATAGTCATGCTGTACACAAAATTTCAAAGCCTCAGAGATAGCTTTATCTTCAGCAATTGAATTTGTGCCCTCTTGGATCTCCTTGCCACATGCATACAGGACATCACCCTCCTCATTTCTAAGGACAAAACCAATTGAACTCCTTCCCGGATTACCTCTTGAAGCTCCATCTGTGTTGACTTTCACCCTACCTTGTTTTGGAAAATCCCAATTCACCTTTGTATACCTGAGATTTGGTGTGAACTGCTCCATCATCTTCAACATATCTGGCCACCTATGAGAAACCTGACTAATTCCTGGCTTCCATACTTTAATCAATGACTGCAAAGTAGAAGAGATCTGGTACACCACCCTGTTAATAGTGACTGCATCTCCATATTTATAATTGTTTCTCCTCTTCCATAATTCCCATACTATGACTGATGGCAAGGCTTGCAAAATTGGCTTCAGTCGAGGTACTACATCTGTAGTCCATCATTTGATAATTACCTGGTGTAGTGTGAGTCCTTCTGTTACAATACCAGCATGCCCAAGGTAATACCTCCATACTTTGTTTGCAGCATATGATGTAAAAAATAAGTGTTGTGTTGTTTCCTCCAAAGGATCTGCACAACACCAGCACTTAGATGCCATCTGATAGCCAAGTCTTCTGAAAAAGTCATCCAATGGCAGCTTGTTCCTCCATACTTTCCACATGAAAAAGGCTATCTTATATGGAAGACCTTTCACCCAAATTTTCTTATAAGCTGACATTGGTTCAGCTCTGTTCCTCACATACTCCCATATTGTTCTAACACTGAACCGACCCTTTGATTCCAAACTCCAAATAGGTACATCCAAGACTCCTTGAGCTGCAGGTGGCTGAAGGTTTACTATGATGTGTTCTGCAAATTCTTCAGGTAATATTTCATAAAGCCTTTGTGTATTCCATTCTCCTCCATCCACCACATCCCACACATTATGGACTGATTCATCAACTCCAAAATTTTGAGGAATCAAAAAATACAAAGCCCCTAAGGCTGTCCAGTTTTCATACCAGAACAAAGAAGAACCCATCCTTGGTTGCAAAATGATCAGGTGTTCAACAAGGTCTCTACACTCCAACATCTTTCTCCAAACATGTGATCCTTTTCTCCATGGCACTACCACTGAATTCATCTTTTTGCAATACTTCTGACTCATAAATGAGCTCCACAGACTTGGTTTTGTTCTATATTTCCACCACAGTTTGCAGAACAGAGCTTTTGCTACATCATGAAGGGACCTAAAACCAATACCCCCTTCTTCCTGTGGCATACATAAGGTACTCCATGATGCCCAATGCCTGTTGTTACCTGTCACTGAACTGCTCCAGAAAAATTGAGCAAAAATCTTGTGAAGTCTATTAATCACATATGCAGGTGGATTGACTGCAGATAACAAATGAATTGGCATACTCTGAAGCACATGGGCAATGAGAATTTCCCTTCCCCCAATAGACAATAGCTTTCCTTTCCATGATGGTAATCTGTCCAATACCTTAGTAATCATTGGCTGATAATATTCCATTTTCCTTCTTGAATAAAAAATAGGGCATCCTAAATACACAATTGGGAATTCCTGCCTTTTAATTCCTGTAACTCTCTCCACCTTCTCTGCTACTTCACTATCAGTCAAATGATGGAGATACACAGCTGACTTTGCCTTATTGACTTGCTGTCCAGATGCTTCTTCATACGCTGCAAGTACCTCCATTATGTGCCTAAGGGAGGTGTCGTCTGATGAGGAGAAAATAATTGTATCATCTGCATATGTAAGATAATTTATCTTTGGGCTCCATTTAGGTAAAGCATATCCACAGAAATGCAAATTCAGATGCAGAGCATTAAGACCCCTTGAGAGTGCTTCAGCAGCTAAGATAAACAAAGTAGGAAACAGAGGATCTCCTTGTTTTACCCCTCTTGATGATTTGAAAAAACCATGTGCTTGACCATTTATCAGCACTGAGTACCAGTTATTTGAAACTATGCCAAAAACCATGCCAATAAATCTTTCAGAGAAGCCCATCTTTCTCAGAACCTTAGTCAAGAATAACCATGAAAGCCTATCATAAGCTTTGGTCATATCCAGCTTCAATACAACATTTGGACCTGCCTTAATTATTAGTCTCATATCAGTGACAATCTCTTGAGTTAACAAAATATTTTCTACAATGCTCCTCCCTTTAACAAAACCAGCTTGAATTCAGATATCAAATTAGGTAGCAGCCCCACAAGCCTTTCATGGATAACCCTTGACACTACCTTATTAGTAAAGTTACTGAGGCTGATTGGTCTAAGATCTGAGAAGGTGCAAACTTCTTTTTTCTTTGGAAGCAACACAAGGTTAGTATGGGTCACACATTTTGGCAATTCATGCCTATTAAAGAATGCTCTCACCATGTCAAACAGGTCATCTCCTATAATATCCCAACATGACTGATAAAATTTCCCTGTGAATCCATCTGGACCACCTGCACTGTCTCCATTGAGCCCAAATACAACTGCCCTTACCTCCTCTAACGTTGGCTGCTTGATCAAATCTTCATTTTGGCCTGAATCTATCAATGAAGGAACATGTCTTATGATATCAAAAGATGTAGGTGCTGCAGATTCTGAGAACTGATCCTGAAAGAATTGAATTGCTTCTGCAACTATCTCCTCTTCTTCTTCTATCCACATACCCTGACTGTTCTGAATTCTGGACAGTTGCAGCTTCTTTCTTCTACCTCTAACTTGCGTATGGAAAAATTTATTATTCCTGTAACCATCTTTAAACCAAGACATTCCAAATTTTTGCTTCCAGTATTTTTCTTCCAATGCTAGATATCTGATCAATTCAGCCTGTACCTTCTACAACCTTTGTCTGTTTTGTTTTGTAGGGTTAGCTTCAAACTCTGCTTCATGCACAATTACAACCTCCTCCAAACTAGCTATTTTTTGAAATATGTCCCCATATGTTGATTTACTCCATCCAGATAGAGCCTTCTTGACCTTCTTCAGCTTATGATTGAACAGAACATATGGGTTTGCACTGAAGTCAGCATTCCAGTTCTGCTTTACTACCTCTTTGAATGAAGCATGTTCCACCCAAAAATTTAGAAACCTGAAGGGTTTCTTGACTGGGGGATTCTTTATATCACATCTAAGCTGCATAGGGCTATGATCAGACCCTATCTTTGCCAAATGTTGAACTTCAATACCTGGAAAAATCTTCTAAAATTCTGCATTGGCCACACATCTGTCTAGCCTTTTGAAAATACAATCCTTCTCTGCCTTGCCATTCAACCATGTGAATATACTACCCTTAAAACCAAGATCTGACAGGTTACAAGTATTTATACAATGCCTGAAATCATCTATTTCATTCAAGTGTACTGTAAGACCTCCAAATATTTCCTCCTTATCCCATATAACATTGAAATCACCTCCTACCAACCATGGAATAGTCATATCTGATGTCATATAATACAATGAATCCCACAGTTCAATCCTTTCAATAGCATCACACTTAGTATATACCAGAGTTAGAACAAATTCCACATGAGTCTCAGAGTGATATAGCCTTAGAGTTAACTGCTGCACCAAGTTATACATAACTGTAACCTCATATACTTCATCTATGAAAGCCCAGATCTTATTTGATACATTAGCAATCGCCTGAGCAAAGCCTATTCTGTTTCTATACTTTTCCAAAGTTCTTGCTTGTTGCATAGACTCCATTAAACCAATGAATTCATAGTGATTATTTCTATGTGATTTGATCAGCATCTCAAATGCTTGCTGAGTGTTAACTGATCTAATATTCCATATGAGAGCATCCATTACTGTTTGGATAAAGAAAGTGACAAATTTCTCCTTGTTTGAACTCCTCCTGCAGGCACAGTTGGGTTCTCTTTATGATGTTTCTTCCTCCCCTTTGCTGCAGATTTGGCCTTCTCAATGATTCTGGGAGACAAATCACCTTGCCTCGCTACATTTTGGAAATTTTGAGTTGTGGACTCTTCATCTAGATCTTGTCCTGCCCTTGCATCTTTATCTTCTACTTCCTTAAACTTCTAAGCATCAGCAACACTAACATCATGCTTGTGTTGCAGATTAGGCACCAAAGTCTGCTCTTTCATATCCTGCATTCTAGATTGCTCCAAGTTACCAGTTACAACTACACCATCCCCAGTTCCTCCTGAATCAATTGCATCGGTGCCAACTCCTTCCTTTATATGTAACTGATCTGTGTTGTCTTCCTGAATCTGTTTTGTTATGTGTTGTTCCTTTGCATCAATTTTTTCCTTTGGGACAGCTGTTTCATCATTGTTGTTGTCCCTTTCAGTTTTCCTCTTTTCTGCAGCAATTTCTTCTTTATTTGTGACTGTAACAGTTTCCTCTCCATTTACACTTTTTTCCTCTTCTTCTTTTTCTTCAAGAACTGGTTCTTCATCATGTTTAGCCCCTACAGGAACCTGATTTTCTTCTGAATCATCTTCCCTTTGTTCTGACCAAAGTTTACCTCCACTCCATTGTACTCTCTCCTTCATCTGAGGAAGGAAATTCTCATTTGTTTGGATTTCTGGAATGTTGGCCATCTCCATTTCAACCATTGTATCCTGTGAAGGAATGTCCTTACAAGATGTGTTGACTTCCACCAATGTATTGCCTATGAAGGTCCTTTGGACCCATTGAGCTGTTGTTTCCTTGGGTTTATTAACCATTGCCTCACTTCCTCCATTAGTTGAACCTACACCAGCTGAACTTATATTAAACTCTGGAGCTGCAGGATTAAGTTTTTCACCCTCATTGCCTATCTGCTGTTTTTGCTGAAATGCTGCTTCTTTTTTCCTTCCTGCTGTACTTCTCGGAGTTGTCTGCACCTCGCCTGTTGCCATTTGATTACCATTTCCACTTTGAGTATTATGTTTGCCATTGCCTTGCTTTCTTTTCTTTGAGGGGGATGCAACATCCACATGACTAATTTCTTGCACCTCTTCTATGATTGCCAACTCTTTACCCTGCACTTCATTAGATTCATCATCACCTAGTGCTGCAAATTTTTTTGTGATCTGCACCTGCTGATTGTTCATGGTCACAGTAGCATTTGTTTTAACAGGCACCATTTCTTTCCCATTTTTCGTACCTCCTTCATTTACATTCTCCTTAGCTTTACCTCTATTATCCTGTACCTCCTTCCATTGAGCACTTGGATTGCCAACTACCTTACCACTTGACAAGATCATCAAAGGACCTGGCCCCTTACCATGTTGAGTATTAGCAACCTTGTCAGTCACATTGATGTCCTGCTTCTCATCTGATTTCTTTGGTAACAATTCAGGATGTAACCTCCAGCAATCCATCATATCATGCCCTTGCAATTTACACTCCTTGCAATATTTAGGAATGTAATCGTATTTGATGTTCACCCACTCCGTTCTCAAACCACCTGAATCCTCATCAATAATATCCATTCTCACTTTCTTTGGCAGCTCATCCAGTAAATTCACCAACACCTTCACACGAGCACAGCTAGGCCTCGTCTTTTTAATAGTAGCCAAATCTAGGTGTTGTGGAATTCCTACTGCTGAAGCCAAAGAAAATAAACATTCTTTGACAAAATAAGTAGGCAACAGATTAGGAAAAGAAATCCAAGCCATAACCTTAGGTGTTTCCTCTCCAATTTTAAATTTTTCATCATAAATCAAGGTCCTTAGCTGATACTCCTCCCCATACTTGTCTTTAACATGATAAACACTTTTTGAAGAAAAATCAACATACTCTTGCCATAAAGTCATACGAATTAGAATGTGCCTGTCACATAAGAATCCAATATTACACTCACCCTTAATTCCACATTGCAATGGAACTATCCGACGTATTTCATTGATGTCAGGCCAACCATAAGAGAATTTACACACAATTGCATACTGCAGCCCTTCAATTATATTCATTCGTCGAACCTCAGCTTCAGTAAAGCACACAGTTGGCTATCCCTGAAAGATTTTAACTCGTCGAGGTGCAATTGGTTCCACAGACGCAGCAGCAGCAGTCTGCATGGTACTGTTCATCAGAGGCTTCAGAACTTTCGCATAATCCATTGGTTTTTGGGTGTTATCTGTGGTCGTCGATGGCTGGGGATTGTTGGGGGGTGGTTGTAGAGGTGGCCCCGCCACAGTAGGTGGCTGACCACCGGTCGGATTGGCCATGGGAGCTCGAAACTCAACTTTCTATCTCTAATCGCCTTTCTCGTCTCCCTAGCAGGTTTCCTCACATGAAACCTGGAGCTTTGGAATTTAGTGTCAACTTTTTTTTCCAGTTGGAGAGGATGGCAGAAAGGTTTTTTGTAGTCAATCAAATCTCTTTAAGGAAGAATGATTTGACCCGAAAGGGGCTGCATGAAATCAATATTTCATTGTCCAGAAATGTCTTTTTTCTTAATTTCACTTTTCTTATTCTCTTTTTAGTTCTGTTAAATGCAGATTTCAATAACATGACATACTTGCAGACTTCATGCCCAGATCCTGAAACGCTGTCAGACCTCGAAATAATGAATTAAGAATTAGATAACAATGAAGATAAGTTTAAGGAAATAAAACAAAGATTCGGAACATCTGAAGGAAAATTGGTTCCAGATTGGAAAGGTCCATACATAGCAAAAAGAGTACTGCCAAAAGAGAGCGTTGTACCTTGAAAACGTCAAACAAAATGTCCTGAAACAACTGTCAATGCAAATACAGTCAAAAAGTACTATGTTGGATCCTCTATATAACATTAATGTTCTCCGGTTGGGATGAAGAAGGATTTCTTTCTCACTATCCAAATATTCAACCCTTTGCAAACCCTTTGAGCCGGTTACTCCTCTTTGATTACCCTCTTTGGAACCTGAAAGTGTTATTGAAAAAATATTTTGAAAAAATGAAATGAAGAATGAAAAAAAAATGAAAAAAAAGAAAGAGAAGGAAAAGAAAGATACAAAAAAGGGGGGGAAGAAAAGATAAAAAGAAAATAAAATGAAAAATGAAAAAAAAAGAACAAAATGAAAAGAAAAAGGAAAAGAAAGAGAAAACAGAACAAAATAGAAAAAACAAAAGAAAATCAAAAAATAAAGTTCCCTGAACTACGTTCGTGTCACGACCCAAAACTCAGACCTGGTCGTGATGGCGCCTCTCGTGAAGACAAGGTCAGCCGACACAACACCCATTTTAACCCTTAAATTATTAAGAGTCATTTTTAAGCCTTCAATTTAACAAATCTTTCATAATAAAAGTCTGAATGAACAGTGCGGAAATAACATAAAAGCCCGACATCGAGGTGTCACTAGTCATGAGCATCTACCAAGGTTTGAATACAACAAGGGTCTAAAAATGTACTAACTACAGTAATAAAAATGAGAGGAAGGAAGTAGTGCTGCGAACGTCGTGCAGCCACGTTGCTGACTCTAACGACTCCGCCTCTAAGCAATCAACACCTGCTACCGGGTTCCGAAATAACTGAATCTGTATATGAGGTGCAGGGAGTAATGTGAGTACTCCAACCCAGTAAGTAATAAGAGTAAATAAAGACGGAGCAGTAGGAAACGATGAATCCACATGTATGATAAACTCAATAAGCACAACAGGCTTTCAATCAGAATACGAGTCAATCGTCTCATTTAAAATCCAGCTTTTGGTAAAAATCATTTAAAAATACTTTCCAACAGTTTCAGAAGGGGTTCAACACCATTTTTAATGAGAGAGATGAAAACCATAATAGGCCCCTCGGGCAAAACATAGTTCATATACAACCCCTAGGGAAAAAAA